GCTCACAGGGGTAAGGAACTCTGGGACGGCACAAAAGTAAAAAGACAGCGAAGGAAATGACAGCAAACAGTAATGTCCTTCATTCTTGGGGGACAGCACCAAATTGGTGGGAGCTTGAAGAAGTGTTTGGAGAACAGTGAAATGGAGACACTGATTTAATAACCAGTTCTGTAATTTGAATCACAGATAGCTTTAATTTTAAAGTATTTCCTAAACAACATTTTAAAATTTTAGTGCTATTCAATTGTTACTCCTACACAAATATACAATACTTCAGAAAATAAGTTGTTAATTTACTTCCCTTGTTTTTGCTGATACAAATGTACTTGAAAACAAAATTGCCTTTTTTGATAGAAATGGAATATTTGTGTAACTAACTGCCTTGTTTCTTTTCTGCCTGTGTGCGGTGGTGGTTACTATGGTAATAATCGTGATTCAAGATTTAAAGCCTGAAAGTGGTTTCTATAACAACATGCTAGGATGTTTGGGACACACAACTGAAGTTAAAGATTCACAATTAACCCTTTATGACCACAATATCTGTAGACACAATGGCAAGCACTAGCTTTTTTGGCAAAAGTTTATTCATACCTTCCCAAGGTACACTTTTTCATTGAGCAGACTAAGTAATAATTCCAGCTGTGGACAGAGCAGGTCAGGTCCTGAGGCTGGTGCTTCCATCCCAGGTGAAGCTTGCAAAGGAGAAGCGGCACCACAGTACCTACAAGCTGCTCATTACATTAAATAAACAAGATAGTAGACAAATGTTTTGGGAGATGGGCGGGGAAGGGATAAAATAGCATTAGTGCAATGTTTATGAAGTTTGAGACTTCAGTCTGGCAATCAGAACTGCGTGGAAAAACTGAAATTACCTATTCATAGAGAATCTTGATGGAAAAACTATTTTGAGGGCTTAAATAGCCCCTTACCTGGCTCTGATTTATCCAGAATGGCATGGTTTTGTGTCCTTTTCTTCCCCATCTGCCAAATGCTGCTCCACGAATGGCATCTCTGCCTCTCAGTCCATGGTGAAGGTATCTGATCCCAATCTCTGTCACTGTCGATCATGCAGGTGTGCTGATCTCTTCCCTAGTTCTTCAAGATAAATCAAGATTGAATATGTATGCACACCCACAACATTCTAAGGCTGTCTTTGCAAGGAAGTTATTGTCATAGTGATGAACTGTTTTGTCTGTGTCATGGTGCACTGCAGATAAACTGAGATATGCCTAGTTACACCAAAGCCAAGCGCTCTTCAATGCAGCAGTAAATGCCTTGGGCAATATTTTAATAGTTCCAGTTAAATGCTAATTATTTCAAGATCTCACTAAAGTCATAGATCTCGATATTTTAGTGACACAGATTCACACACTTGTTTTAAAATCCCATGGGTGAGTTTTAAACGAGAAATGAACAAAAGCATTGAAGGTTCTCATTTCTAACTCCAGACACTGGGCTATCTAAACCCTTGCTACCGTCATGTTATCCCACGACTTCTTTAGTGAGCTTATTTGATCACAAGGTAAGCCTTCATCTGTGAACAAATGCTACATGCTGTTGTTGAGTCAACAGAATACAGACTGAAGTAACAGCACTAAGAGAGGCAATGGTTTCTTCATTTATCCCAATGACATTTTATCTTTCTAGTGACTGACCATAACCAAGACATCAATTATACAAGCTATTTTAGCAAATTAAAAACAATAAAAACCCCCACCCATCACACATATTCTGAGTTGTTTTTTAAAAGAAAAAAACCCACATTATTTTTGCTACTGTAATTCGATCATTCTTGCCCTAGAACTATTTTTAAAGTTTGATTTCTCAACTGATAGACCAGCATACTGGGTTTTTTGCTATCCATTTCTTTCCAAAATGTGAGAGTTAATAAAAAGTCAGATTTTGCTGTGAACTGCTTTATCTGTGTTAGCTGGTGTCACTTCCTAGTTTTAATTCAAACGTGAAGTAATAACTCTTTGTTAAAAAAAACAAAAAGAAATAAAAGAAAGTCACCCTCCTCAAAGCACTGTAAACTCATCAGTGTTGATGACTGTATGGGTATCAAGAAGTTCTCTATGAAGACAGATTTTTTTTTTTCTAGAAAGTAGACTGGCTCTGTTAAGAAGGTCAGAAAATCTCTGCAGCGTATGTAAAAGACCCTGAAGCTGTTAGTGTTGAGAGCTTCTGTGAAGCTTAGAATCCTCCTTCAGGGAAAGAAGGCACAGCTGAAGAATAGCATTGCAAATTATGAGCAGCCTCCAGGCATGATGAGATGATTAGCAAAGTGCAGGCATGACCACAGTTAAGTGAACTCCGGTTCATAACAATGCGATTAGCAGTGATTGAAATTTGATTTTAAATTCTGCTGCTGATTGTGATATTTTACCAACTTGTAGCGAAAGACGTGTCCAGAAAGAAAAAGGCTTTGCTG